GGTTAACCAAATGTTTAATAATTAACTGAAGTTGAGTTTCAGTCGAATAGAGGAAAACAAAGAGATAGTCAGTTAAGGGCAGAGTCTGATACTTGACATTTTCAGGTTATGTTCTTCATGTTAAACTATTAGACACGTTTTATTTTTATGAAAAGAAATTTTTTTCCCTCAACGTTTTCGGGATCAAAGCTAAAGAATCCTCTGGAATTTTAAGAAAATCGCGTCTATTTATATGAGGCAATACTTTCCGTGAAAAGAATACTGATCATTATTTTATGTTTTACTACTTCACTAACTATGAAGACAAATATAGTTCGTTCACCAGGAGTTGGTACTTGGCGGCGCCTTCATCACGTGGTATGCGACGATACTATTTCGCTATTTTTGGGAGAAGGCTGTGAGCAATCTGAACAAGGTTGCTATTTGGCGATCGTATGGCATAAATATTTATTTCGCAAATTTATCTGCTTTTTTTAACATTAAATATTTCATAACTTTGATGATATTCTGTGCCATTTTTTTATGATATTTCTCTCTTTTGAGTGAATAGTTTGTCCTCATTGAGACATTTCGCAGGGAAAACAGTAATTTTTTTTCAATTTTAAATATATTTAAGAGAAATGAAAGGTACAATAGCAGATGATAAAGCGAAGTAATTGACTGAAAAAGAAGTCACTGTTTGTGTTTGACGCACAATAAGGGTTGTCTCAATTTCAAGCGCGAAGATTTTTATCTTCTTACTCCCGCGCTGAAATGAACTCTTCGTCTGAGAAGGTGGGGCCAAGTGCCAACTCCTGGTGAACGAACTATACTTTCAGTGAACCTTTGCCTCGAAGGTCAAAGGTATTTCAAAAATCTTAAAAATAACGATATTTTCTTAGACTCTGACCTCCAAAATCTACTTGTGCCAGGTTTATATTTCTGCAATTTAATAGTAACAATAACAAAAGTATATATTTCTGTACTAATGAGTAGTACCTAGCAGAATCCACATATGCATAACCTTAGAATTGACCATAAAGTAGCAAGAAACTGAAATGTTAAACAGCTTTCAAGATCATTAACACCTTTACAAAAATTTAACAAGTATGGAATTTGCTGAAAAAGAAGACTTAAGTAAAGCAAAAACAAAATCAGTTCTCAAACCGATGATTACTGATTCTGCTTTTACATAATAAGTCTCTAAACTTTGAGGCTCGTGTCCGAGTAATCGAACACAGGTTATGGTTAATCTGTAAACTGTTCTAAAAAATTTAATTTATGCCCAACATAAATAACTGAAGTGAACACCCTAGATTTAGAAAATTTAGATAAAAAATATTTGTTTAAGCTTTTTATGTTACAAAAAGAAAAAAATATTCAATAATTTTGGTTGCTGTGGAGACAGTGCCAATTAGCAAGTGGAGCTGGCATTTATTATTCTCTATCGATTCTCCGCCAGGAAATATTTAGAATTCTGCAAAGTTAATTTTAAAAAGGGAATTGACATACAGAGGTTTTAACTTCCTCTAATTATTTCATCAACTAATCGAAACTTTTAAGATCGTGATGAACTTTACCTCGTTCCCAATTCCAGCTCTGGATTTCGTTGGGGTAGTTTGAAATTCCTCTTGGTAGCGTGAACTAACTTTTCCAGTTCTAAAGATTTATTAACCAATTTTTTATTAGTGCTCTGCACGGCACAGCATTGATTTCTTAACTGAAGTTGTTTGTTACTCCATTCTCCTAACCTAGACAAGAAAAAAATATTTACATCGTCTACATCAGGGGTTTCCAACTTACATGAAGCTGGGGGCCACAATTAAAAACACAAATCAAATGGTGGGCCGCAACTTTATCAAAATTTTATGCAGGACTCTTTTATGTTTGAAGGAACATTAAATATTACTGTCAGATTTTTTCCAAGTTGTACGAAACAAAAGTATTGAATTACAAATTTAAATAAGAAGTAGACTTTTAAAAATTTTTATTGCATATTAAAAAATTCGGGCTACAATAACTTTAATGTGCACCCATGTATTAAACAATTAATGTGCAACAGATATCTAATTGCTAAGATATAAAACTTTAAAAATGTTGGTATTAAAACTTACACACGAAATGTTCAATGACAAAATTGAGGTTTGTCTGCTGCAACCACCAGAGAATAAATATTTACATTTTAAAATTGACAAATGTGTGTGTAAATAGTTTCGTCCATAATTAGTGGTTTCAAAAAGTTAAATCGAAGAATTTCCTCGGAAAAATTTCTGATACACACATGCTAAATTATATTCACAAAATACAAAAAAAAATGAAATAAAAAAGAGCAACATACACGATTTTTTTTGTATTGAGTAAATATTTTCTTGGATGCAAAACCTGAGAAATAATTTATTTTTTTTTGCACTGTTGGTAAGATAAATTTCACAGAAACGAAGAAATTAGGTTTTTATTAACGAGAAATGTATTTTAAACCCATATAGATTTTTTACGAAAATTGTCCGCAAAAAAATGACAATTAATATATTTTATTTCGCGGGCCACAAAAAAAGGCTTCTTTGGCCGAATGCGACCTCCGGGCCGCCAGTTGGTAACCACTGGTCTACATAATACTTAAGAAAGAGCATTCAAAAAATTTCTCTTTAAAATGATATAAAATATTGTAAAACAACTTTAGCACTAGTAAACAAGTATCGGGTAACGAGAGTATTATAGGCTGTTCACAGCAACTTTATTGCTGTATTTAAATAGATCAACATAGTTGCAAAATAACATAGATGCAACGTATAATACTACATTGTTACAGTGTTTGTAGAAGTGGAACAAAATAATTGTAAAATAGTACAGAAACAACGCGCCATAAACACAAATAAATAAGCTTCTCGAACTTGCTTATTAAGCTTTGGATTTTTTTAATTTTACAACTGCCTTATTATAGAAGTAATTGTAGAAGTAAATTACCGTAATTATGAAATAACATTAAAGCAATGTATAAAAACAAATAAAAAAACAAGACTCTCGAACTTCTATATATATGCTCATTACATGTTATTTTGACGCCCGGTGGCTGAGTGGTAGCGCTTCGTCCTCCCGTGCCATAAGTCCTGGGTTCGATCCTCGGACCGGGCAAGGTTGACTCAGCCTTTCATCCCTTCAGTGGGTCGATAAATGAGTACCAAGCGTGCTTGGGAACTAAACACTGGGAGTTTCGCGTTTGGCTGACCACCTGACCGGAACATCTGCTCCTGCACTCCGGAGCCCAAGGTCAGGAAAACTGAGATGGGCACAGTAGGCCTTGGCCCTCTATGGGCTGTCACGCCACTGAGTTCAGTTTAGTTTAGTTTAGTTACATGTTATTTTACAACTTCATTGTTACAAAAATCGATGATGTGATAACTACGAGGCAAATAATTCAAAAACTAATTCATCTATTCAGTGGTTAGTCTATTTTCTGATTCTTACGTTCATTGATTCACCGATTCTCTTCCTGTCTTGTATTGTTCTATTTATTCGTGTTCTATTTATTCGTTCTATCAATTCGTTCATTAACTAATATAGCTTAATGTTTGATGTAATCGGAAAAAAAATTTATTGACACTCGCTTTTAAAGTAACTTATTAACTTTTATCGCTTAGTAATTTACCTAATCGAAAAATACTAAATGATTCTGTGGTTCGTCTATTTGCTGGTGAGCACGTTCATTGATTCTCTGATTCGCTTCCTTTTTTTCCTAGTTCTATTTAAACGTGTTTATTAGCTCACTCATTAACTAATATAACACACACAGTTAATATATTATTCAATAAAAAAATATTGAATTGGCGCTCATAAAATAACTCACGCATTAACTACTATGGGGTCATAATTAACCTAATCGCAAAATATTAAATGATTCAGTGATTTGTCTGTTTGCTTATTCACCCGTTCATTGATACACTGGTTAGCTCCCTTTCTTTCCTCGTTCTATTTATTCGTGTTTATTAACTCACTCATTAACTAATATAGCTTAATATTCAATCAGGGCTCGAAAAACCACCCGTCCGCCCGTCCTCGGCGGTCAAAAATTTCCCGTGGACAACGAATTTCTCGAATCAGACGTCCACGCGGACTGCCATTTTCCCGTTAATGTTCGTGATACACTTTCAATTTTTGTTATCTTACAAGAGTCTAGAGCCTCACTTCTAAAATGACTCTCTAATCTAGAAATCCCGTACAGCAGCATTCTGCGCATGGTGGATCGATGTTTTTCCGTCTGGGAGTACTGCAGCAGTTGAAAGGGACTTTTCAGCAATGAACTTACAAAAAAACACATTACGTAAGCGTTAAACGCAATTATGAACATCCACCTAAATGGAAAACCCCTTTCAGATTTCTGTGTAGATACCTCTGTAAATCATAGGCTTGATTGTGGAACTGGCAAACGTCATATTTGATACATTTTAAAAACACAGTACCCTCGGATAATTTGACATTCCAGACAACTTGACCTTTGTTATTTAAATTATTTCATAAAAGAAACAAATTATTTCATAAAAGAAATACTAGGTTTTACTATTAGTAACCTAGTATTTCTTTTATTACTGTATAATGTAATCCTAGTAGCTACTAATGCAGTGTGTAATTTATATAAATGTTTGTAATAAATAAGAAAAAATAATATTTTTATTTATTTAGAAGCGACGGGTTAGTTTCAAAGGAGGACGGGTACATTGTTGGACAAGCCGTCCTCGGGGACGGGTAAAATTTCTCAGCTTTTTCGAGCCCTATATTCAATTTAATCAAAAAACATTAAATGACGCTTGTTAAATAACATATTTATTAGTTTATAAACGTCATTTTCATTTACTAAAACTTTAATTAGAACGTTAAATTATAAATGTTTAAGAAAATTTATAAGGCAGTTATAAATTTTTTTTTATTTGTTTTTGTATTAAAATATATATATTGTGAATAATAAAAATCCATACGCTAAAAATTAATTTATCCGTGCAAACCAATATTTCGTGGTGAATGTTAACTTACTTGCCATTTAGCCACGAATAAGTCTCTAATAGAAATCTATTTTCCTCTTTTGCAAATTGCAATGCACGCTCGTTTATTTTAGAATTACTCTGCCCTTTCTGATATTGATCAATGTCTTCAATTCTTTTGTCCATCAAAGCATCAGACATGACAAAAGTGGTTGGATTATCTGTTTCACTAAAATCTTCATCAGCTGAACTAAAGTGATCTTCACTTGTTTCCTTGACTGAGCTGTTTTGAAAATAATTACCATTTAGCACTCTGATTGAATTTGGAGTGAATATTACGTACTCTGAACGAGATACAATGAAAATAATTTTGTTAAATAATTACTCTAAATGAGATACAATGAAAATAGTTCTTCTCGTGGAGTTCACTCGGCTGACGGTCGATTGGACACCGGTGTGAAAATATGGAGCCGTGTTTCACCCATTGTCACATATCGACGCATAAATTCGGGTTTATTACGATTAAACAGCTTCTAACATAGCTCAGAATCATCAATACGTTGTTGTTTTTGATCATTTGTGAGCTCGTGCGGCACCCACTTCGCCTAGAGCTTTCGCATACCCAAATATTCATTCACAATATGTCCAACACGTTCCTTTGATATCTTTAGAGTCTCAGATATTTTGATCAAATTCACTTTATGGTAATCTAAAATAATTTTGTGGACTTTTTTGATGTTTTTGTCGGTAACATCCTCTTTGGGGCGTCCACTGTGTGCATCGTTGTCGGTGCTCATTTCGCCTCGTTTAAACTTAGTAAAACACTTCTCAATGGTTGATTTTCCTGGTACAGAGTCCAAATAATGTTTCTCAAGCCAAGCCTTGACTTCAAGAGTATTTTTTTTCACTGAAAAGCAATACTTTATAAACGCACGAAATTCCCTTTTATCCATTGTTTTTAAACTAACAAAAGTTGCTTCACTAAAAATACTATATCTCACAAACTAATAGTCCGACAGCTGTCAAATTTATACACGTGTCTTTCGAAGGTTAGAACTAACTAAAAATCATATTTTTTAATAATAGTAACCCCATCTATGTGTCAGCCTATGAACGTTTCAGCCCAACTGTTATGCCCAGAAAAATCCCTTCATCACTATTATAAACTATCTTTTCGTTTCCTTTTGAACAGGTAATAATAGAGAAGCCAACCCCAGCTACATATGGTGACATTTTCGGGGTTGGTTTTCTCTAAAAGTTTAATTCCAATGATGTATCCTAACTTCCCTAGAAGTTTGTCGCAACATTTATGCCACCTCTGTTATGTATAGCGTTTTTGAACTTGTACATTTTATCAAAAAATTGTCTAAAAATGCCATAAGGAAAACCTATAAATTTAGCAGTAAAACTTCTTTCAGATTTGAAATCCCAAGATCATTTGAAGACCAAGTATTTGTATAAATGCATCAAAAATTTGCTCCCTAGTGTTATCTACTGAAATTTACAAATGACATATATTCTTTGGACTTTTCTAGGCTACTGGTGATTGACAATGAAATGATGAGTTTTCGGCTAGCTGCCTAATATGTGTTAAAGCTCATTTCTCTGCAATAGGATAAAAATGTTAAAGCATGTGCATTATCGCTTTAATTTTCGTTGCACGTAGGATGCTTTTAAATGCGTTTATAATTTTTGTTAAGTCAATCGCTACACTCGAACTTTTCTGAAATTAGACGCTAATTTTAAATATCTAGCTAATATATGTTTTATATCATAATCATATTTCAACAACTTATATCATTTAATATTTTAAAGAATGAGAAAATTCTTATTATATGCCGAATATTTTCTAATTAATTCCCCTGTGTGGCCCTAAAATGCTTAAAACAAACATAATAAAATTTAGGAATATACTTTACACGTATGTTTCTGATTCTGATACTGAGATTTTCGAGTTTTCTGAAACTTCTGAAGACTCCATTAATGTGGGCTAAAAAAAATATTAGTAGAAATATATATATATATATACACCGAAGAGCCATTACATTATGACCACTCTCCATCTGTAACAATGGTCTCGCCCAGGTTATCATGGTTTCACGCCCAGGAACAATGTTTTCAAGGGGCACATTAGGACCCATAATCCTTATAGAACAATCCCTGACGTCTGTAAGCTACTTGAACATAGTTGCAGACCAGGTTCACCCATTCATGGCAACAGTTTTTCCTGCGGGGGATGGTGTTTACCAACAGAATAATACACCATGTCATAAGGGTCGAATCGTCATGGATTGGTACGAAGAACATTCCAGTGACTTTCAAGTCATGTCTTGGCCCCCAAATTCACCTGACCTTAATCCAGTAGAGCATTTGTGGTCCTACTTGGAAAACCAAATTCGTGCTGCCACACTACCCCCTCGCAATGTGAGGGAATTGTAGGACCAGTTGGTACCAGATACCTCTGACTACCTATCAGCACCTTGTGGAATCAATGCCACGGCGGGTGCCAGCAGTTTTGAGGGCTAAAAGTGGTCCTACATGTTATTAGCAGGGTGGCCATAATGTAATGGCTCTTCGGTGTATATCTTTTGATTTTTACTGACTGAGTTAATAATTGAGAAATTATAATAATATTAAATATGAGAAAATTTTAATACGTTTTATAATTTTAATATGAATAATTGATTTTTGTTATAATTTAGCATTCATTCATTCCATATTACGTTCATTCATTTAAACTGTATAAAGATTTCTTATTCATCATTTAAATGATATCAAGATTTAGTATTCGTTAATTTATACGATATTCGGTTTTAACATTTATTTATATAAACGGTATTCATTCGAGTAAGTAATATTATGCATTTAGTGACTCCTGTAGTTTATTTGAAGTTTCCAATTAAAACTCACAAAATAATTTATTCTTAATTATTAAAATAGAACAAAAAAAGGTTATACCTTTAAACCATTGGATTTAATTGTTTGAATACTTTCGACAATTTCATCTCGATAAGAATAATTATCATTAAAGATCTTTAAAAAATTTTCAAGCCTTGCTATTGCATGCTCCACATGTTGTAAATTTTTTTCGCGATTTTTTCTATTATTTTCCGCTATTTCATATTGCTCCTCAATTTTCTTTTGAAGTAATTCATGGTCATGCTACAAGGAAGAAGAAAAATAGATTTGCAAATTAAGAAAGGTCATCAGAAAGTAAAATGATAATATTTAAGCTTAAACTTACGAATTAATTATAATTCGAGAATTAATTATAAGAATTAATTATAAGAATTTACGAATTAATTATAAGAATTATAAGAATTTACGAATTAATTATAAGAATTGTAAGAATTTACGAATTAATTATAAGAAAGAGAAACTAAGTTCCGAGTAAATGATATTTTTAAGTTTTGTTTTTAATAATCCAAATGAATATATAAAATTTTGCTACAAACTACATCAATACCAGGTCCATAAAATACTTCTTCTTTATCATTTTCAGATGTCTCAAGTGCTAGTCTAGCCCTTTTTCTTGTCGATCTACCCCTATGTGACGCCTCATATGTTTTTAAAGTAGCAGCGGAAATTCTGCAGTCATCTTCATTTTGAGCATATTGCTTTGACTGCTGTGGGCCTAAATTTATTTCTAATTGTTCCAATACTGTCAGTAACCCTTTGCAACGTTCATTTGTAGCTAAATGAGTTGCAATTTCAACTCTTTAAGTTGGAAGTACTATTAGTTCTGTTTCTTACGTAATTTAAGTAAATTCTTTCAATTGGATAGTTAAAATGATAGTATTTTTCTAAAACGATAAAATAGATGTATATATTTTGATATGTGTGAGCAAATCCGTTATTCAACTGAGTCCACGAGTTCATATGATCATACATGTCCCAGAGCATCCCACGCTCGGCACATTATGCTATAACTTTTACATTTTTACGAAAATCAATTCACCATTCCAGTAAAATAATCTTAACATGATCAACGATCGGAAAAACTAATAATTATTTTTAACTATTTGAAAATCTTACTGTATTCAGGGCCCGCGCTAAGAATTTCAAATCACTAGCCAGTAAATTAGCCAAATATCAAAAGTATTCGCCAATTTTCGAAAGTCTTCGCTAAATGCAAATCTTAACAATTTTTTATCATAATTTTTTCCCCATAGAAAACTATTTTACGGTAGTTTGTTTCAGGGCTTATATTATTTGGACCAAATTCTAAATGATTATGCGACGCATCTACCGAAAAACTACTGTAATCGATTAAAAAATACTGATTTGTTTAGAAAAATTCATTTTAACGTAATTTTGAGGATCGAGTTAAATATATATTTTCCTTTCCAGTGAAAAAAAATCATTCTCCAATACTTTAGCCAAAACATAATTTTATTCGCCGAATTTACGATTTTATCGCATTTGGCGAGGTGGCGAATTCTTAGCACGGGTCTTGTGTATTGTAAAACGCTGTATTTTTAAATTTTAAAATAACCCCACATTGATTTGTTCCAATTTTTTGTTATGAGTCTCCAAAGTTCCTATGAGAGCGTTTCTTTTCTTTTCCAAAGCGCTTTTGTCATTCGAGAGAAGGTTTTTAACTGAATCCGCTGTCCGAATTTTTCTGTTAAGTTGCAAACCTTCCACTTCCTCTTTCTGTAATTCCTTTTCCGAGTTCTAAAAAATGAACATATATTAAATTTTCTATCAATACAAAGAGGAGAAAGTTTTTTAAAAGAAAAATAAAACCACCTTTTTTTAAATTAAATGTATACTTAATTAAGAAGGCTATTTTCCGAAAGCTCTTTTGTTGGTGCCAAATTTCAGCTTGAAGAAAACCCTTAGTTTTTTAAATAAGCAGAAAGCGTTTTTTTTCCAATGCCCACCTGGGAATGACCTTTCGTCATATAGGCATCTGAAGGGCAGATTTGTTGACCATTCTTTCAGGAGCACCATATTAGATGGGCCAGTTGCTCCCACTGTAAGTTTAGATAATACAGAGAATGAAAGAACATTCGTGCTTCACTCGGGATTCGAACCCAGAGCATTTCTGATGAAACAAAAAGTGTTAGTTATTTAATTTTTTAATATTTGAAAGGTTACATTATTACTGCATTCTTTGGGCTCCTAAAAGTTAGCAAAAATTGAGAATTACTCAAAAATGCTTGCAAACTGAATGATCTAAAAAAAAAAGAGCCTAATTTCTACTTCAAAGCTCTATTTAGAATTGAGAATGTAGTAATAAACTTATCTAAAAAGATAAATAAAAACTCATTTAATTTTTTTTAATTTTGACCAAAACTTTCAAACTTTAAAAACTATGCCAATTTGATAGGAATGATAAATTTTTGAGACTGACCATATTATATATAATTAGCCAGTGAACCAGTTAACCAGTCAAACTTGTGGGCATTGTATTTGTTTCTACAAGTGGTATCTATATGATGACATTTTTAGTAAAATAAAAACATTTTTATAGCAATAAACACTCCGGTAGATGTATCATAACAGATAAAGATCACAGCGACTTAAATTTCACAATCATCGGTAAACAAAATTTGTGATTTTCTTTACCCCAATCCAACGAAAAAACGATTTTGATTTGAAATTTGACATTGGCGATCCCCTGTCTTCTGAGGAGTTCAAAGTTACAATGATACAAAGGTGAAATCGGCATCAACCTTATTTTTCCTTTTCATAGATGTTCATAAAATAAAATGAAGGGAAAGAAAAATATTTTTACCTTTAATTTCAGAACAATATTATCATCGTGTCTAGTTTTCTCTAACAACTCCTCATATTCACGTAGCAAAGATTGCTTTTCATTCTTAAGGATTCTGTTACTATCTTCCAATGCATTTAGTTGCTGCTTCCAATACAAACATTCTTTCACGAGATTTTCGATGTTTTCATTCATATTCTGAGAAATATCCAGCACTTGATTACTACACATCTTATACTAAATTATTTGAAAAAAAGTGGGTAAAAAGAAATTGTAAGTGATAAAAATGAGATTTTCAGATTTCCAAATTTCAAAAACTCCAAATTTCAGAGTTAGTTACAAAGTTTGCCAACAGATGGCGCTTTTTACATAAGAAACTGTAAAACAATATCTTCATCTATATGTGACTGGCTCTTCTATCTAAAATAATTGCATCTATTAATTAATTCCTCGAATTTGCACCACTTTGATCTACTGATGGTGTTTATTTTGCAAACACTGTTTCATATCCAACCAAGGGTAGGGTATATTTTTGCTATGTAGACTAAAGTAAAATACAAAAGGTAAAACACAAATAAGAGGACATAGTTTCAATTCTATAAACAAGAACCTTCCTCAGTGTCTAAACACCACACGATAACGCCAAATCATTGTTCACTATCATTTGGTGTTTAGACAGTAAGGAAGGTTCTTGTATATAGAATTCAAACTATAGTACGTCCATTTATGTACTTTCATAGTTTCCTAATTTAGCAACGTTGTGTGTTGATGAATTTTGTTACTGACCTTAAATTTATTCAAAAATAAAGTAGGTGTTTTAATAAGCAGAATGCAGCAAATCGATCTATTTCCAACTCACTCTTTTTTTTAATCTTTAATTGATTTTTGAAACCATCAATAATTTTTGGTTGAAGAAAAAAAAGTCTATGAAATTATCCCCGCTGTTTGCGACAATTCTCACTAAACATTCTCGACTAGGACCCACTCATGTTCAACTTTTTGTAGCTAGGAATTTTTTTATGAAAAAAATACTTTTCATATTATTTATTAAAAATTGGTCGAACAACAATTTTAAGAATTTTTGCGTGAGAAATGAAAAACGATTTTTGTCTAAGTTGTTGAGCGTGAATAACTTTTCATAAAACGCTTGTGGCATTTCTTAAAAAAAAATCTATGTTCAATATTGTTTTAAAATTGCTTTGCTTTTGACAAAAATGCAAAAATTATTTTAATGAAAAATACAGAGTGGCTAATATTAAATTGATTGTACTGAAACCCTTAAATCCCATTCTGTTGAACTGATCTGGAGGAAACTTCAAATGCATGTTACGTCGATCATTGAATAGAAGTTCGCGTAGAAAAAAATAGTTCGAAATGTCGCCAACAGTAACAAAGAAACTAAAAAATATAACAGTTTGATTATAAAAGAATAACATTATCTTTTTTGTAAAAATATGAGGATATTTGATTTGTCCAAACAATACGCACCACTTTTATAAAGAATTTATATGCGCCATTTATTTTTTGCACATGATTTTCTCAGTAAAGCGCCACTGTTGGCAAGATTTCTAACTACTATTTTGTTTTCGACGGAAACCATGACTCAATGATTCAAGTAACATGTATTTGAAGTTTCATTCAGATCCATTCAGTAGAGCTGGAGCAACGAGCCTCTGAGTACTGTCCGTTTAATTTTTATCACCCTGTGTTTTCGATTGAGCCACAATACAATTAGGTGGTTTTCGATAATTTTGTTGAAATAAAATTGACTTTATTTGTCCAAATGCATTTGAAGGGTAACATGTTTTGCGTATAAAATGCTGAAAATTTTTAAAGACTCGTTTAGAAAAAAAAATATATAATTTTGTTTTTCAATTAAAGAAAGAAAAACTGGATTGAATAAAATGTTGAAAATAAAACAAGATGATTTTGATCCTAAAAAAAAGATGCGTAGCTACAAAAATGTTAAAACACTAAACAACAGAATAAATAAATACTAAACAAAACAAACTTACTAAACAAAAGTAAAAAAATTAAATCAATTAAACTGGTTTCTAAACCAGTACGTCTCAATTGGACACCTGCAGGTGACGCCATCGTAGATAAATCCTGACACTCGTTAATTCTGCAGCCAATCGTGTTCGACAAACATACGTGACGTCGCGTACAGGTATCCAATTAAATTTGATTTAAATCACAAAGTTCGGCATAATCACTTCACTTCTTCTCGAGTTGCAAGTACCATTTATCTCCGTTGTTGATCAGCCGACCCAATTTTGAGTTTACGATTACCAACCTTCGACTCCGTAGCCTTGTAATTTTGAACCCAATCCAGAAGATAAGGAAACTTCTGGATCAAGTAATAGGAGAAGTTTGCCTTCGTGGAGGACTTATTGGTGGAACTAACCCGCATTTTCCGGAAAGGAAAACCACGAAAACATCCCATGGTTAATCTGACGTCAAGGGGAATCTAACCCATGATTCGTTTACCATTTAGGATGTTTTGCGTCAGCACAGTGGTCGGTGCGAGCCAGGGGCGTGATTCGTACTGACCGGCTATCGTTGGGATTCAAACCCGGGTCACTTCTTTCGGAGGCAAGTGCTCTATCCCCTGAGACTACACAGCTCTGCAAATGCCATTTCTAAAAAAAAGCAAAACTATAAATCAAATAGCCTTATCAGTACGGCTATGGTAACGCTTGCACTAAAATTAAGCGATTTAATTCAATACATCCAGAGAGAAGGCCTCAGCACAAATCAATTTTGTAGTCCGACGTTACGAATATAAACTGTGCAGTGGTTTAAAATACGAAAGATGCACTACGTTTCGACTACGATGGGATCAAATTTCTTGTTTCTGGTAACCCGTGCTGAGGCTCTCTTTTTTTTCTAAGAGGTGCTCTTTAATTATGCCTCACAAAAGCAAATAGCTTGGCGAGTTTTTTTCTTCTTTCTAAAACTCATTTAAAATACACTTTCAAACAAAACGAGGGTAGACTTTATTTGAGGGTGCCCCTTGATTCTCGCCAAGTTGTGATTGCGGTTGATCATCAAGCTGGGCGATGTTGAAACCCAATTGTGATTCTGATTGGTTTAGATTTTAGCGTTAGCTTTAAATGTTCAATGGTATATGTAACATCAGAGGTCCGTTAGTTCTACGTTGGATACCGGCTGGTAAGGTTACTTTTGCTTCTGGTCAATATGATCGAAGGTATGCGGGTAATCATAACAAGGGACTTTAGAAAAAAATGTCACCGCCAGTCCGGTACCACAGACGCCTTTTTCGATTCGTATTTCGCCGAATTTATGTGGCGATGGAGGTACATAGATTCTATTCATGATAAATTTAGACAGTATCTAATTGCCATTAGAGAATTCTGTGCACCTAAATCTGAGGATATTCAAGCTTAATGAAGAAGTGAGTTGTTTTNAAGAAACATTACTCCATCAATTTTTGTTTCGATTCAAAATGCATTTTATTGGGTTTATTAATTTTGCTTATATTGGTTTCATTCCAATTTTATAAAGTTTTGGCCGATGTTGTGTAGAAATTTTCCAATGTGTTATTGAAATATCATTATGTTTCGGCAGACATTCCTGTTACCAAGGTGTTCCGCTCAAACAGTAATGGCTCCAAACATAAGTCGCCAATTTCGCCAAGGAGCACCCTCAAGTATATTTTTACCCAAAACGAGAACTAAGTTTTGAAAATAAAACACTGACTAAGTCATTATTCAAAATAAACATTATTCAAAACAAAATATTAATATATAGTCAATAATAAAACATTTTTCCAAATTCAAATAAATGAAATGTAATAAAACCTCAAGTTACGATTAAATTACCATATATGAAAACTTATTGGATTCACCCTGATAATTAATTTTTTATTTCTATCATTTCAGTTCAAAAATATTGCAGAATGAACCGTTACCTCAATAACAGCTTTTCTCTTTAAATGCATTCCCCAAAACAGGCTTTCGTCTGAAGAAACGGGAAATATTTTATCGTCTTCTTCATAAAGCTTAATAAGTTTACATTCTCTTCTTGAAACCATAACTTCCTCCTTACATTTTTTATACTTCTCAACATGATTAGGTTTTCCCGCAATATTTGACACTTCTGTAATATTATTACTGATCTTGATATTTGTGCGTATTTCCATTTTTACTTTTTTCACAGCGTTTAAGATTCTAGGATCACAATTTAAAAAATTTAACTCGTCTACGTGTTATAAAACACAAAATATTAAACATTTTAAAAAACAAATTGCAATGTTGATCATAAATTAGAGTGAATAGTATGGCGCGTAGCATTTTTTCCAACTTATAACTCAGTATGCAATTTGTTAAAGAAAAATTTCATCTTTAACGTCAGCAGACCTATTTCTGCCATTTGGGTAGTTGCTATTCGAGAAGAAAACGATCATGGATACACAGGCACGTGACCTATGACATCAGCGCCAGCTGAATGTTTATAATCAAGATAGCGTGTCTAAGTCAGGCTAAGTTTCGCCAAAAAAAACTTACAATTCTAATTAACGAGAAGTTAATTAAATACAACATGGGGACAGACAAACTAGCCTTCGTGGAGTACTTTTTGGGGAGACTAACCTGCATTTGCATTACATGGAGACCTGCATTTGCATTGCGTTACTACGGTTATCGGTTACAGTCGGGAGCAGAATTCATATCAACCAGGCACAGCTGGGATTTCAACTTGGGTCACTTCGTTGGGAGGCCAAAGCTCTATCCCCTGAGCCATCACTGCTTTTACGAAAATAAGTATTTTATTTAGTAACCGACATTAACAGCCGATCCAAATTTGAGTTTACGACTTCCAATGTTCAACTCCGTAGCCTTGTAATCTTGAACCCAATACAGAAGACAAGGGAACTTCTGGATCAGTACCCCTAGAGGTATTGATTTGTTATGGAAACTCGGGGGGCTTTGTAACCACGATAGATTTAACGTGCACCAATCACGATTTAATACACGGGGATTCTTCGGCTGCTGGGCTCGAACTCCCGTTCTCACGAACACGAGTTCAACGCCCTACCAAATAAAAGAGTTACAAACATCATACTGGAGCAATTTTACCAATCTTATTGGTTCATCACCCAATTTGAAAGACAAAAATTTTTTCTTCTCCAAATAGAATAAATATTTGTCTCATTCCTTTTTTTTTTTTTTTTTTCAATTTTAATTTTTTGATAAGATATACTCGACTCATGTTGCTAATTTGCTAAAGTTTTCTATTAACCAATATGTTGCTATTAAGAAAGTTGTTTGGATCGATTCAAATTTAATATAAACATCATGACTTCAAAGTAACCAATTAATATTATTAAATTTTCATATTTTATATAATTGTTTGAAAAAGTGAGAAGCAATATATTAAAAATTTTGTGATTTCAGACTGTAATGAATTAATCTGAAATTTATCAGTGTGTATCACAAATAAATCAAGTACTGAGGTAAGTACATTTCAAATTTATTTAAGCGATTTAAATACTAGAAGATAACTATAAATATCCAATATACGAAAAAAGTTTAATCATCTAAAATTTCTCCAAAAAAAGAAAAAAATCCGGATTTTTTCCTTTGATAAAAATAAAAAATACGCAGTTAATTCAGTCAAAGAATTTACTTGCTGTTTCAAGAAAATTAGATTGATAAATTGAAGAGTAGTGAACACAGTTTTAAATTATTAAAAATGTTACAAGTTTTTTCTACCTAAAATGGATACTACAGAATATTCTAGCTGATCCTATTTATTTCGAAGCAAATTGTACAATAATAATTTTTATCGAAGTCGAAGCTTGTTGGTAAAAAAATTTTTTTATTGTTAAAGCACAAAATTTAAAAAATTCAAAAGACCACAAAAAAATTTAGTGATTTGTTAAAAATACGTTAACATTTTTAAAAACGAAAAAAAAAAAAAAAAAAAAAAACTTTTNAAAAAAAAAAAAAAAAAAAAAAAAAAAAACAATTTCACCTCAGAGTTTCTAATTTTAAAATCGCTTTGTCTGGAATGTCAGAAAAAGTAAGAGTGTCTTTTGTTTCCATAGTAAGATGGGTTAATACTCTTTTACTTAATAAATTACTATATTAATAACTACTTTAATATATTGTAATAAATACAGATTTCGAAATTGAGACAAATTTTTAATATATATATCCAGCAGCTTTTAACAATCTGCCTTTTTTTTTTTTTTTTTTGAAATAGAGAAAAATCTGAAATTCCGCTCTTTTATTTTATGCTGTCATTTTATTTAAAATATAGAAAAGAGAAGAATAAAATCAAATGTGAAGATTCATTATCCTGTTTTCTGAATTTAGCAAATAACTGTAATTTTAATAAATCCCTCAAATTTTTAATTATATAACCAATTTTTTTTTAAATTTATTTTCTGATTTCCTTTATTGAAACTTATAATTTTCCTGAAGCATTAATATCAAAATATTTTATTTCTATTCGATATTACGCTACATTTCCTATTATCAAATCATAGGAAACGGAATCTGTCGATAGAAAAGCGATAAATTATATTACATTAATTAATTATAATTGATAAATTATTATTGACTTTACGAATTTATTTATTCCTCATTATTATTTACTTATCAGGTGGTTGATTAATTATTTTATTTATTGACCAGAATAATTAAGCGTAAAATCACTTAATCAGCAATAAGTTGGTATAAAGAAAGAAACACTGTCAAAATATTATCAATAAAGAACTTTAGTTAATGAAATACACCCTCATGTATAATTTATTCTTCAATGATCACGGCTTTCTACCTAATTTTTTCGAATTCGACTATCCGTCAAATTAATATATATTTAAAAATGTTCAATAAAAAAAAAAGTTTTTTTATTTATTCATTTTTAAATCCTGGCGAGAATCCAGTGGGAAATTTTGAAGCTCCTCATCAAAGAAAAATCCATTCCATTGTACCTGGATGAAAATTGAGATTATCAAGCAACGTTAGATTTGACAACTTTTTAGACATCAGTTCCACTCACTTTTACTGTACTATAAGTTTTATGAAGGAAAATCTAAAATCGAGCATAAGTGTTGTGAGGCCACTATTCGATCTTTTTAAATTGCCCCTCAATAAAAAATAAATGAATTAAGAGACTATTGAGAAAGTGAAACGACTTTTTTTCTGAATTGAAAATGGACACACACTCCTTGCAGGCCAAATTGGAAATTCTATGCGATTTATGTAAAGAGAAGGACACGTGTTTGCGTGATGTCTTCAGAAAATATGAAAGCTACAAAAAAATTACTTTCTTAAGAAAATAAACTGTGGCCTTTGGTATTAACTGTTCCTGTAACTACTGTTAAAGATGAGAGATCTTTTAGCAAACTCAGATTTGTAAAGAACGTTATCCGTTTAACAATAAGTGATGATAGATTAAACAGTTTAATGTTTATTTCTTGTAAAAAAGATATTACAAAAAAGTTAGACACTCATGAATTAGTAAAAAATTGGGCAATTTAAAAAGCTAGATGGATAAAAGTTAAAGTTAGTTTAATTTTTAACTTAATTTAATCAGTTTACAATGTATCTCAAGTTTTTCATTTTGATGTTTTTATTGCTTTTATTCTTCTGTTATCATTTGTTATGCTTATTTTGTTATTAATAAATATGTTTTGTAGTTATTTATAAGCGTGTAATATTTTTCCAAACATTTTTTTGACGTCACACAATTCATACTTTTCTTTCATTGAAGTAATACTAATTTATTTAGTTTCATCTAGAAAAGTCACAATAATATAAATTTGAATAGCTGCAAATAATTATTAAATTACAAATCTAACTTTGAAAAACAATTGCAATTTATTGCTCGATTTTTATAGAAACAAATTTTAGAAAAAAAAGTTAGAACGTTAAAAAAAAATTTTTACTGCTGAAATACAATTGGCCAAGCTAGCCTAATTGGTAGAGGGAGTTGGGCCTATATCCAAAAAATAGTGAGTTCAATCTCCACAAGCCGAAGACTCCCTGTGTAGTAAATGGTGACCGGTGCATGTTAAATTTGTCGGGTCACAAAGTCCTGTATGTTCGCATAACAAACCATACATCTGGGAGTACTGAATTGGAGATTGATCGTTCCATTATTCAGGTCAAAATTATGATCTGAGGATGAATGGGTCCGCCTAATAAACGGGTTGTGACGTGTGTGTAACTGAAATCTTATTCTTGGCCATAGATAGCCCGACTGAAAAATAAGGAACACACCCTCTGCCTTAAATATGTTTGGTTTCACCAAGCGGCATTAGAAACAACAAAATACAACTTGTTGAAATAAAATATCACACTTTAACAGAGCCATGTGATGATTTAATAGAAGTTGTAGTACTAGTGGTGCAACACGTTAACGAAGAAGCAAACAAAAATATTTAATAGCATTTAAACAATTGAGCCTGGTGGAAGCTACCTTGTCTCCACCCATATAACAGACTAAGATAAAACGAAAGTTTTCATTGAAATTTGCATGTTTTTAAATGGGATGTGGAAATTTTGTGGAAACATTTTCTTCATAATTTTAATTCAAACATAATTTTAACTCAACTGATTTATACTACCCACATGCAGGTATAATTTCAACAAGAATCATAGTAAAAAAATCAAAAAAAATCGGGGATACATCATATGCTTTTCAGTCCCTTATATGTTTTTCTCAAAAAAAAAAAAAAAAACTCTGACATATTTGTATTTTCTCAAAATATAATGATTAACATTCTTCAACTAATTTCGTTAAAAATGAAAAACAATTCTTAATTTTTAAAATTATTTTATTCAAGCAAACAAAATACAAATACAAACTCAATATCGCATAACAATTTAAATTAATTGAGGAACTGTATTAAAAGGTCTGATAACAGTTAAAGTAGTAAAACTTTTAAACCAAACCATATTCAAATATTTTCAGATATACACTGTTAAAGTGTTAGTCAGCAATCAACACTGGATATTTTATACATTAGCCTCTGTAGTGCAATCATGTTTATTACCTCGTATACATGAGTATAACATAAAAACATTTCATATGCTTTTTACAGTAGCATATCACAGAAAGAATAAATAATCATCTAAGTTTAAAAGTAAATTATTATCATCCATTTTGCAATTAGCAATATACAAGTATTTTTTTATAACAATTACATTTTTATAACAGTTTAAACAGGTATAAATATATTAATTGATTATACCTGCAATAACTTGCCACATTCCAAAAATATAGAAAATCACAGGTAAAGTTTCAAGAAATGTCATGTTTGTGGGTATCCACATTTAAAACATAATAAATTAAACAAAACTAGGTATTCACACAAACAAATAATATTGAAGTAAAAACGCAATAGATTTTGATTAAGTTAATCTTACAAGTTAAGAATTTACCGCAATAATTTACACAAAATTTAATTCTATTAAAATATACTATTATTTATATAACCATATAAAAATATAACAAGCTAATACTATTTCATTAATAATTTTTAAAATGTTTAAGAAAAATTTATTTTAGTAATAAAGCAGAATGATCAATACATTTCAAACTCAATATATTCAATCATAAATTATCAATTTCATATCTATTCAAGCATTTCAAACAGATAATACAAAAACGTGCTTAAAAAAAGCATCTTTAGCTGCATTACAAAATTTTGAAATATCCTTAAAATAAAAAAAAATCACAATTGTCGAATGAAACATGGCTAGCATGTTAATTCACGAGCAATTAATTAAATGAAAAGCATAGAAAATCCAAAATATTTTTTAATAAGCAAAAATAAATTTTTAAGGTACTATTCATACAATTTTTTAAAATTGTTAAGCGAATCATCAATAAAAAGATCTCTCTTTTTTAAAAAATAACCAAAATGCCTAATATAGTTTTAAATATACATCTTGCTGGACAATTTAATACATCTAGCACATAAAAATTAAAGTTGTTATAAAAATGTATTTCTAATAAAGAAATTTAACTGAGAAATATGTAGCAAATCTTTTAAAAATTTATTTAAGGAATATTGTATAATTCCATTAATATCAGCTACGAATCCTTTATAAATAAGTTTCGATGCAAACACTGATGAAGTCATTAATATAACTGATACACAAAATCAAAACTAACTTGAAGTAAAGTAAAATTGAAGTAAAATTGATTAAGAAACATTTCTTTTTCTTCTGAAAATGTGCAGTAAACATTAAAAAATGATAGCAAAAAGTAATAGAACTCAAAAGACAATGCTATAGCATAGCAAAGCATAGAGTTCTAATAAGTATTCCATTGTTAGCAAGTCTCAACATTTTCTGTGCAAACAGAAAACAAAGGACTTATGCAGGAGGTACCATCCGGTAATAATACAATGTAAATATTAAAAAAAAATATCTAATGAGAATTAATATTAAAGTTTTTTGCTACCAATGTATCATATTGCTTTGATAATTTTATATAACTTTACATCAAGCCAGAAAACTTTAACATATATTTTTTCAATAATTTATATTTAATAAGTCGATTTTTCAACACTTCTGAGAAATGTTTTTGCTCAAAAGCTTAGTTATACGTTTATTTCCTTTAAAATTAAAACTTAAATAACTTTTCAATATATTCAAAACACAGATTTCACTCGAGGAATAGAAAAAATAAGTTCATAATTCATTCTTGTTTTTCAGATGGATTTAGAAAAAATTACAAAATATAAAATGAAAAGAAAAAAGTTTACGAACTTATTTCAAAAGACTTAAACTGCAATTTATAATTTTTTTAATACTAATGATGAAATTAAAAGATGGAGCATTACTTTTTAAACATTATTAAAACGGCCCCTACAAAAATATTTATAATTATTTACTTTCAACGACATTATGCCTGTCCTCATATTAAAAAGAAAATTAATAATTCAGTAAATCTTTGGTTAATCAAATTCCCATCAACTCACAGTACTTTTGATACCAAATACAGTTTTGAGATACTGATATTTTGCTTCACAAATCGGTTTCTCATACATTCTTAATTTACGATTTCATAAAACAATTGAAGAGCATTCAGAAAAAAATACCATTACTGCGTTAGAGAATATATTAAAAGGCAATTCTACCATTTACAAATGTTACATTTGCAGACTTTAAAAACATACAACTCAGTTAAAAGAAAATCACTTGTTTCGAAAAATACTCGTTTAAAACAACTCTTGCAAAATCCTCCAACCAGTTGATCAATATTTAGAAAATTTATACAAATAAAAAATAATAATAATTAACTAAAAAAAAGTATCTGAATTTTGATTAGTAATTTTCGTGAAAAGAATCAAAATTCATGGCTAATTTGAAATGAGTTACAATCAAAAAAATATTTAATTTTAATTTAAAATAATGTTTTGGACTAATTTTGATGGACAAATTTAAAGACAATTTTTTGGACAAATTTAAAGATAAAAGTTAGGATATACTTACATATAAGATCTTTTATAACATAATTGATATCAACTCACGGGTTCTTTAATTTTACTGCTTAATGAAGAAAACCCTGTTTAAAATCATGAATATCCTGTTCAAAAAAAGATTAATTAATATATCATAAACATAAATTTAATTTTAGATTTACACAAAAGAAAAATGTCAGCTTAAAACTTACAAAAGAATTAGGTGAAAGCGTTTTTGCTATATTTTGGTTTTAAGTTTAGCAGCATCAACTTCATCAAATACCATATCATTTAATATTAACATTAATTATAGTTAATTAGCTTAAATAATGGTAAGACACGTGAAAATACCACAATGCATAAAACAAACTTTTAATTATGATTCATTGTATAAAAAAACAAGAAAATTTATAAATTTTTTCTGCACATATACAGAATACATGGTAGAGACAAAACGCAGCAAAATTTATTTCTTCATTTCGAAGCTAACTTACAAAAGTTAGCTTTAACTTACACAGTTAAAAGCTTACTTACAAAAGTTACAAAGCTAACTTACAAAAACAAAAATTAACATTATTAATAATTGTTCCTGTCAGTCTTAGATAATTAGATGAAAGTGTGAAGAAATTTAGAGATACTTTGATCATAATTTTCACGAATGTTTTAATTATTATTAGGAATTTTAATATTTTGAAGAAGAAAAAAAAGGTTGCTGGTAGTAATTTTTAAATTTCATTTTATTTTTCAGAATTAATACTAAGGACAGTTTAGTCTTTACATAGAAAGACAGTTCTGTCAAAGAAAGTCCATTTATTTTTTTTAGCCTCCCAAATGGAGGATAAAAAAAAATCTCACTCTAACTTCAACTTACTAACTGTCCTGCCCATAGAAAAAGCCATCGATTATTTTTTTTCGTGCTGAAACACACACCTAAAATTAGATAGGAAAAAAAATGATTCATCATACCATTGTTTTTTTTAATTCTAGGGGGGGAGACGAAATTAGTCTGAACCACTCATGTATAAAAACAGTGTGAATATTTGGAAACAGTAAAAATGAAAATGTCAAAACTACCAGTGGATTAAGAAATAAAATTTTCAACAATTAATATATTTTTTAAAACTATACTCTTTACATTTTAAATGAAAAAGTAAAAAAATTTTTTATTGTATTGAAAAAAATAACAGGTTTTGCATTTTAATATTGTTTTAAGTTATACCAAAAAATACCCTTTTGTTTAATTTATACAAATAAAGATAGATAGATATAATCTCACCATATTTTCCTAAGAGATATAATTACAAGATCAGATCTAATCAAGGAAAATCACATTACATAATACGTATTTATTTCAGCAACAAACTTCCTAAAAATGGTCTTTGATGTCTTGAATCTTTATTTTCCCGGGTAGGCCGTTAAAAATACAAAGTATTCTGAAATTTTGATAACTTTTGCCAACAGTGGTACGATAAAAATCAAAGTGTATAAATAATGCAGGAAGACTAAGGTCTAATTAGATTCAGCCTACTGTGAAATTGAATACAAATGCTTAAAAAAATATTACACCAATTATTTCTCTGAATATACCTACAGTCTTGAAAAAATTCATACATAAGATATAAATTAAGGATTTAACTTTACGCAAAGCACTCTCGGCTGAGTATTTTCATAAGTACGCTCAATACAAAATGTTACGTTATAAATAAAGTTTATTACATAATTTTCATAAATAAATGTTTTATACATTTGTAACTTCCTTTTTCAGCAGATTAAATATTTTATTTCAATTTCAGTATTTTAACATATAATTTAAATGAAAAAGGATTTAATTTTTAAAAAATTATCTTTATTTGGTAAGTTAGCTTTTACTTGAGATGTCATTATATCAACAGCCTTTTCATAGTTGACATATTACATTAATTTCGTTTTTCGAAAAAAAAGTATTGAATTTTCTTATTTTAGCCAATTTTTCTAAAAGAATGCAGAAACTCCTTTTTTTTCTTTTGAGTAAAGGAACATTTTGTGTGTTAGTTTATTAAAGCAAATTCGTTGACATTGAGAAACACATGATTTTTAATATTAGACTTATCTTTAAACCAAAATCGTATGACCATGACCTGCATCTTTTTCAATTATTTTCAAAAATTCTATTTTTTTAATTAAAGCTAAAAGATGCAAGACTAAAATAAACTCGAGACATTTAGTAAAAATCTGTTCTATTTAAGCACTACAAACCAGAAAAAAAAGAAACAATTTTAAAACAAGAATAGATTTTATTATTGCTAAAATTTAGTTTATATGAATAAAGTTTTCAAATATAGTACCAAAAAAATTAAATTTATAAAATATACTTAAAAATATAAATGAACAGGTTCATAATAATTTTTAATTTGTACATTTATTTTATACATATGTAAAATTTCAACTCAATATGTTAAAATAACATTACAGCAATCTCAAAACATTTTTTTTATCTTTTAAAAAAAAGTTATAATCTTAACTCTGATCTGAATATTAGAATTTAAAATGAAATAAATATGCAATTTATGAATTTATAATTTTATGGGAAATTTTTAAACAATTTTATAAAATGGACATTTTGTTGCACACATAAAACATTAGCTAAATACATTTAAATTTCACCAACCTCTAAGCGATCTTAGAAACTACGAAAATTTATGTACAAACAATAAGGATTAAAGAGGTAAACACAATGAACCAATATAAATAAAATTGATGTGAGTATTAACTGTCTCTTAAGCAAAGCTCTGAATAAGCAAGCTTTTATTGAAAGTCAAAACATTTTAGTAAAAATCTTCGCTCCCAGAAGCATTATGCAAAAATATAAGAATACTTATAAACGTTCTTCATAAAAATTGCCATATATTTACAGGAAATATCAATATTAGTAAAGATAATTATACTAGTTTGTTCACAGTCAACTATAGAGACAATTAGAAAATGCTTGGTGATATAAATTTCAATTCATTTGCATAAATAATATCGATAAACATATTGTCAATTATAGATTTGCGAACAAATAAGCTTTTTTAAAGAATCTGATTAGTTAATTATATTTGTAAAATAAATTTATATTTTTGATAATCACACTAGGTTGGTTACTCAGCAACTGAATTATAAACTAACAATTCAAAATTTAATTGAAGTTTTACAACTCCACACAATAACTAAGATTGAGGAGAGTTTGATGAATCATTCAAGCTATCTTCTCCAAAAGAGGATTCAGAGCCTTGACTCAAACTAGAATCTTTTCTCGATTTACCAGACATACGATCAAGTTCAGCAGCGGCATCGTGTCTCACAGTAACTTTATCACCAGGAGTCCGGACAGATGCCAAGGGCCCGCCAATTGGCGTACCCGTTCTTCTATTGAGTAAACTGTTGAAAAAGTTTTGTAAAACACCCTCTCCTCCAACAGTTCCAGGCTTGCCCTCAATCTTTTTTGGAGACGCTTGAACGCCAGGGGAACCAGAAAGTCTACGGTCTGCTGTTTTCTGTATTCCAGCTGGTGCTCTAATTGGCGTTTCTTGATTTCCTACAGCGGGTCTTCCGATGTTTGATGGAACTTGCTGATTTAGAAGATTTTGCAGCCTGCAAAGAAAAGCTTCATCTTCTTCAGCCGCTACCTCAACTTCTTTTTGCAGAGGCTTCCTATTAACTGGTTTCACAATTACTTCGTGGTAAGGATCATCCGCTTTAATCGATGAAAGGTTGTCCACCAGTATGTTAATTTTACCTTCATTGTCCCATCCGGAAGGTATGAATACGGCATCTTTTTCAACAACCAAAGCTGGGGTTCTAAAAGGAAATGAATATATTCTATGGACCAAGTACTTTAAGAATAAATCGATATTCTTATCTTCCTTTACTGAAACATAGAAAAGAGCAGCACCATATTCCTTGCAAAAATTCCTAATAGCTAGCTGGATATAGTCAAAATGTTCTTCTCTGAAATCAAACTCTTTCTGAAGAGTCGACATGTAATCGGACTTTGTAATAACTACTATTATCTCAAGGCCAAGATTCGTCTTAATTTCTTCATCAAAAATTATATCTTCGCCTTGGGGTTGAACAGGACGCACAGGTGTTGATACGCCATCAAGAATCTCATTCCCGGGTTCCGTATACTCACAAAATCGCTTCAAAACACGCTTCCTTTGCTCTGCCAGAAACTCTTGTGGCAGTCTCAACCTCTGCACATGCTCTTCGATTATTTGTGCCCAGTTTTGAAGGGATTCCAAAATATCCCATGGCTTAGACATGGAAGCTGTAATAATTACAGTGGTATGGGGAAAGGTATCTTGATTTAAAACATATTTCAAAAGATTTCTGTGCCAGGGATCACCATCCAATACCCATACGCCTAACCTGGTGTGATCGTCACGATATTCATCGCGAACAAAAAGGTAATGGTATTCAAGTCCAGAGCCAGATTTCCGAGCATCTTCATTACCTTCTAATTTTGCAATAAGTGACGTTTTACCTGATTCATTATCGCCCAAGACAAGCAACGATTTACATGATGGCAATTTGTTTGGTGAGCTTTCTTGGACTTGGTTTAGTATGTCTATCCATAAATTTTCTTCTTCCTCGTTAGAACTTTCTGCCGATTTAGCATCGGCAGCTTGTTTTCCGTCAAGAAACACCATCACTATTCTGAAATTTTAATTTAGACTTCTATTATCCAAGAATGTAAATATTGATTGGGCTGGGAGGTGTAGAATTTGTGACGGTTGTCAACAGTCGGCTTTATCTTCATTGCTTCATTGATGAGTCACTGCTTTGGTTATATTTTTACTGAAACTATTTGCGCTTCTGCGTATGAAAATTCGGAATATAGAGTGCGCTGCAAACGCTACTTGGCTACTCGGAGCTATACACGTTGGCGTTTTGAAAATGTAAGCTTCTTCAATTCAAATTGTGACCCAATGTGGTTTCTCAAATAAAAAAAAATTCTAACTCTGTTGCGGTCAGAAAGTATCGTAGACTTCTTTAATAGCCTTTTTTATGTGTTTTAAAAATAATTTCTATTGATTTCCCTAATAAAGATTAAAGTTTTATTGATATAGAAAGCGAAGTTGATATAGAAATAAATTTATATTGCAAAATTAGTTTTCGGCTAATTTAATTTTTATTATCTTATAACTATCTTTACTATCAGTTATTATAATGTTATTTAAATATAAAATACAGTATAACAGCTTCCTTTTATGAAGTGACTTTGAAAATTTTATCTTATTCAAATTTCACTTAGAATAATTAAATATAAATTATGACCTGCAAAATACATAATACTATGTTTTATGAAGCGATAATATTTTAATAACCTTGTATCTGAATTTTTTTTTATTGCCACAAAAACATTTGTACTAAAAACTTTTTTTCAATAAAGCAAAAATATTGCAGTTTCAAACCTTTCATCCTAAAAAGATTAAAAATTATTTTTAAAGTACTGCCACTTAGGTAAAATGGTCACTTAGGTTCATCATTATAGTTTATCTGACGGCTCACTAGCGATATGATCAAATTGCATTGTTCATTAAAATTTCACCACAAGGTGGAATTTAGCTGAGCTTTCAAGACTTTGCGAAAGAAAATCTTATAATTACCTAGGTTTAAGATTATTTTAACCTTGATACTATCTTTATTAAAGGATATTTTCACGCTTGAAATCCAGAAGTCAACCTCGATTTATGGGTTTTATATAGAAGGCTGTTTTCCAAGGTTTTTGATTAGGGTAATGTGCGTTGAATAGAGCAGATTGTCACAGATCTCGTTTTAAGGTTAGAAGGTTTACACATAAACCGCATAGCAAACCTTTTTAGGTTTACATTACAAGGTTTTTGCTGAATGAAAATAAACCTTATTTTGCTATCCGGGCTTTATCAAAAAAAATGTAACTGTTGATTATTTTAATTTATTTGCATCACCAGACTTAAACTATCCATAGTTGATGTGGGCATTAAGCAAACATCGTTATTATTTTGTGAAAAAAGACATTTTTTTCTCATCTATTTTGCGCCTTCATATTCCTAAAAAACTAAATATATGTAAGATAATCTTTGATAATTGGTCAGTCAGAGATCTTATCAATTGAGAACATAACGTTTTTACAAAAAATTTATTTATATTTTTTTAAAATTGTTTTGCTTTGCCAGATTTTTCTGAAAATTATTATTTTTCAGATAAAGTGAAGTTAAACATTCTAGACCAATTTAATTAAAATTAAAAATGTTACTTTATTTTATAACCGTCGATCTGTTCAACGATCGTCGAACAGCCGACCCGATATTTTGTACTACGACTACTAATGTTCAATTTTGTAGCCTTATAGTTTTGAACCCAATCCAGAAGACAAGGGAACTCCTGGATCAGGTATTGGGAGAAATTTGTCTTCATGGTTGACTTTTTATTGGAACTAACCCGCATTTGCGTTACATGGTAAGAAAAATCATGAAAACCTCCCCCGATTAGAATGACGGCAAGGGGACTCTAACACATGATCCATCGATCATTGGGGATATTTAACGTCAGCAACGGATTAACGGATGTGGTATTCGCATCGACAGCCACCGCTGGGATTCGAACCTTGTTCGCATCATTGGAAGACGAACGCTCTATCCCCTGAGCCATCACGGCCCGAAGTTAAAATTCGGAAATTTTCCCTCGCACAGTTGGTGACATCGTCATTTTGAGGACACGAATTCTCTACTGTACAATCTGGCCCTTCCACAAAACGCTTTGTAACGGGAAGGGAACGGGTTCGTATCCTGCCGTGACTCTGAATATATCTTTGTAATTTCACTCTCTTATTTGTGTTGCACTTCAACTTGATAAAGACATTATTAAGCATCTAAGCAATGAGCACAAAAGATTTCATATGTATGTGTAATGAGAATAATAAATTAAATATTTTAATAATAAATGCGGAGTAATGTTAATTTAAATGTTTTGTTAAGCCAGATGTTTCTTCGGCTTTTTCTATCTGAAAGGGTAGGCATTAAAATTTCTTAAAATGATATTATTTAAAGAATCGTTAGGAAAAAATTAACATTAAAAACCTAAACATTTCTGCATAAAATGCTCGGTTAGAAATCTTATCACTTTGAGAACAGGACTCATCTCGTGGAGATTCGCTCGGATCGTCGGTTTGAATTTATAATAATAATTTCTAACTCATGCAAAATTTAAATAGACTTTTTGCGAATGTCACAAAACGCCACATTAAATTTCACGAAACGCCACAAAATATTTCTATTAACTCGCTTTTTCGTCTGTGAGAGTGGAATACTACAATCTAACTGTTGACAACTTTACGATTAGCTAGGGTGCTCAAATTTCTACTGGAGTTCCATACCGGAAAACATTAATTGTTTTTTGACTGCTACAAGTTTATTTCAAAATTTTATTGTCAAATTTATTTTAATTTTATCACCAAAAAAATTTTATTGTCAATAAACTCTGACCATTCCCGGGCAAATAGTCTAAAATCTCAACTCCATATTTAATGACACTACATGGTTCAAACGTTTCATGCGCGTACAAGCAGAGTTTAAGGATACATTATCGTATTTCAAAATTTCGACTGTTTTCCGACTGTCTTAAGTGTTAAAATTTAAACTAAAACTATGCGTCAGGTGCCAATCTAGAAAAAACGTGTGTAATGATTTTCTTATTATCAAAAGGTCAAAAATACCAGAGGTATAACAGAAATACCATAATACCAGAGGAGAGCAGAGTAGAAGCAAATTTAATTTCGATTTTATCGTTGTTCGAAATTTTCAATTTTATGAGTCAAACAAATTACAGACATAAAAAGAAAAGTCTTTTTGGAGTATAGGCGTCAAATATTCTCATGTCATTATTGATTAACTAATTTTATAAAAATTTCAAATCAGAAAATCCCCTTTTACAATTTTCACTTTATAATCTTCAGTGTTGGATTGGAAAATCATTTTTTTTTTCAAAATGAAATGTCGAAATTTTTTTATAATTTCTAACTGCATTTGGTTTAAAATTCTCTAAATTTTGCCGACCCAATTTTGGGTTTACGATTACTACTGTTCAACTTCGGAGCCTTGTAATTTTGAACCCAATCCAGAAGACCAGAGAACTCCTGGATCAATTATTGGGAGAAATTAGCCTTCAGGAAAAGCTCCCATGGTTAGTCTGACAGCAAGGGGACTAATCCGTGATCCGTCTACCACCGAGAATATATTACGCCAGCCCTGCGGCTTGTGCTAGCCGGGTACGGAATTCATATCGACCAGCCATCGCTGGGATTCGAACATGGTTCACCTCATTTGAAGGCGAACGCTCTATCCCCTGAGCCACCACTACTCGAATTCTCTAAATTATCACTTTAAGGCAGTGATTTCCAACCTCCGGTCCATAGATCAAATGTACTGGGTCGCCGAGAAGCATTCAATTACTTCCATTTTATTTATTGTGATGTATTTTCTCAAGTCCGTACGGTTTACCTTAGGCGGGAGGTTAACCGGGAGCTGAATGACGTCACATAAAGCCGCACCAATAGCGTGCATTCAATTGCATTTTATTCGAAAGTCATGTTTAAATATAATTAAATTAAAAATTGTTAAACCAAAACAATCTAAAATATTACGATCAACGTTCCCCTCCTCAGAGAGCCGATATAAAATAATCAAACGATGATCGGCCTGTGGCAATATTATGGGTTTTTCACATTTGTTTTAAATGCATTACATAATTTAATGTAAAATAAAAGAAAAGAAATGAAAAGAAACAGGGAAATATTACTGTTACCAGAACTAATACTTTTTAACCAACTTTAAAAGGGAAAAAAAGGGTTTTTACGGAAATAAACAAAAAATTAATAATAAAAAAATATATATAATTAATGAAAAAAAAATTCAAAAACAAATAAATTTTATCATAAGCAATAGAATTCACAGATCGTAAACAAATGCAAAAATGGATTTTTTTTCGAAAGACCAGGGAGGGGGGGTATCAGTGCCTGATTTATCACAAGACCCGAGAGGCGCAGGCTTACGGCCCCCTAAATATTACAAATAATTTCTTTTCGTGTTTTCTTTAAGAATTTTCTATTAGAATTAAGAGTTAACAAAAATTGCAATTAATATAAGCTCAAATTTATTAATATATCGTAATTTACTTATATTAAAAATAATTTAAAAACACTTTATAATTAAACAATAGTTAAACTTTGTTCAAAATAAATACCAGCGGGCCCCTGACAGTTCTGTACCCAATCCCTTGGAGATATATCTTAAAACTGCGGATCTTTCCTCTGTACCTCTGGTACGTATAAGTCATTTCTGGTACCTAAGTCATCATGGAACATTATTTGGGCAACTTCTTTCTTTTCACATGAAAATATTACTTCACTACTTTTTAATAATTAAAAAAAACTCTTTATTTCTAAGCAAATTATTTTGAATCCCACAATATTGTTTTCCTAATCACGCTTTTCTAACTTATTCCCGTGTTATCAAATAATTGCTGAAGAACTTAAAATGGAAAATACCGTGAAAAGGAAACCAGTCGTTGTTAATCTTAAAATAGTTCTCGATTAATATTCTGAGGATGTCCAATGTCCATTCATAATTTAATCTGAAGTCACCACAACGTGTTCTTATTTCCTACATCAATATCTTTTACAGTTTTATAAGTCGTAAGGAAAAAAAATATGTAAGGAAGAAAAAAAAATTAACGCTGCAACATCTCGCTAGAAAAACTAATCCAGACTTTCCCCTTTAAAGCGAAG